AGTTTTTGCTCCCACTTTCAATGTGACGTTGAAGACCGTAGCATTGCCCTTTGCTGCGTTGCCGTCGACACCTGCTTTCGTTTTGCTGTGGATAGTCTGAGAAGCATGTTTGAACAGCTTCAGAGGATGAAAACAGCCTCTATCCAAAACCCGCCGGTTAATGACTTGCCAAAAAGGAAACCGGGACTCCACCAATTCTCGAACAGACCCTGTCACGAATCTCGGTATTTCATGGGGCTCCTCATACGCCCATCTCAACAACGGGGATGAAAGTGATTCAAGCGCTTCCCGGGCTACGTTAATTGTCTCTTGGGGAGAGCGAATTAAAACTCTGTAGAGAACACCTGTCTCAGAGGCGGCAACGTAGATGGCAAATCGCAATGACATCACAACCAATTGATGCAAGATTTGTCCCATGCGCTCTGTGGGAATGTACTTGTGAAAGGTTTCATCTCCCATGATGCAACTGATCAGATTGAGGGACACTTGCGCCAGCGATTGACCAAGACTCGCTGGCTGCACGCGAGTCTTAATCTCCACTGTTGCCGGCACGTAGGATGTGCCCTCGACATGAATGATGTCACCGTCATCGAATGCTCCATCCTTAAAACTGTCCACCCGCAGCAGCACTATACCATCAGGAGAGCATGCCAGGTACGGTGCATCCAGCACTGACAGCATCCCCACCTCAAAGAATTCTCCAAACATCTCCATTCTGCGCAACGCGTGCCCAACTGCTTTCTCGTTCACACTACCCCGCATCATAGATTCCGTAGATACTTTTGAGCTGAACCATGAATTAGAAGTATCTGGAACCACTCTTCATTGGTGCGCTCCTGCACTTCCCCCTGACCGTCCAGTTCGAGTGCAGTGCGAACTGCGCCATTGCGCATCAGAAAAGCCCCCGCATTTGTGCCAGTGATGCTAAACTGGCGAAGTAGGAACCAATCTGCACAACGCTGTGCTGTAGTAAGGCACATGCAAGTTTGGCGCAAACAATTCTCCAATCCCTCCTTCATGCTTCACCCATGAATGCTCTCGCCATTGACTCTGGTGAAGAGAATCTCCGCGCCCGCCGTTTCTTTTTCTTTCGGTACAGCAATCCAAGTGTTTAGGATGTCACCCACGCTTGGAGGTACAGTGTATAGGAACCGAAGTATCTTGCAAAACTTCTCGGTACCGTGCTCCCGAACGGCAATTGCTGTCACCTTCTTCACCCCCACCCTCTTACCGTTTGCGGAAATGGGCTTTGTGGCTAGACGTACATCGGGACCAAGGCCTCCATGGTCTGGAATGACGAAAGCAGCCGGACGATCGAATTGAGCACCCTGTCCGTGCGTTCCCCTCGTCTCCTCACTCAGTGCGTCCTGACCCCCCGCCGCTCCCTCCCCGTCTCCCTCACTGATAACATTTGCGCCACTATCCCGAATCTCTCCCACTGAGTTCCGCCCACCTTCTTCATTGCCTTGCCCTGAGCCCCGCTCGGATTGAGTCGTCGTGACGTCCGCGGCTTCCTCTATGTCGTCCGGACACGTTCAAAAACGACTGCCCAACGAAGGGGTGGCAGCGGATGAGATGCTCAGGCATAACTAGAATGGAGCAAAGTCCATTTGCGTTGAGTATGTCCAAAAACGCTTCCTTTCCATACCCCCTATCGGCCGTTATGACACAACCATTCACAGATTCCTCACCCTTGTCATCGAAGATTGTGGTAAGGAGTTTGGAGACTGAGACGGTTTGAGCCTCTCCTCTTCTTCTAAACCGTAACCCAAGAACAACCCGAAATAGTGCGTCGGCGATTGAATCTGCCGCGTGTCCTTCTTTGTCTGCCTTACGCTGACTGAGCATTTTCACTTGATTATCGACGGCTCTTATGCCGAACAAATCATCGTCGAGCGTGGCGAGTAGATGTAACGGACAGAAAAAGACCTTCCTTGTTTCCCGAAATGCAAGGTTCTCGAACTCAGACAATAGCCGAGTCTGATCGCGCTGTGAATTCCAAGAAACGCTCCCATCATTCCCCCTTCCCGTCGGTGAATAGGCCAGAAGATTTGTGCAAATAAAACGAAGGCGATGAAGAGGAGGGGTATCATTTCCCAAAGCACGCATAACAAGAACAGCTTTCTCAAAGCGAAATCCCGATGTGTGACTAAAGAGCATAACCGAGAGAAATCGATACATGTCGGGCATCGTAAGAGGCTCCTCCTCGCTTCGATGCATACGAATGCTCTCGTTGATCCAATCCAACATTTGCCGCAACAACCCCTGGCATAACAGAATGACAAAACCGCAACGACCAGGCAAAATTCCTCTCACTGGGCACTCTGTGATAAGCTTCTCGACTGCATTTTGGCAGAACAGTCTTGCTCTATTCCCAACCACGATGTTCGTAAACTCTTCCTCCATCATGACTGATGCGCACTCATTACGTATCACTTTCCATCCTTGTGACGGGTCCGATTGATTCCTTCCACCCCTTGTTCCACCTCGACCTCGGCCACGTCCCCTTCCACGCCCACCACGCGAACCTCTTCCTTCTCGCGAGCCTCGTCGACGCGCGGCGGATCCACGGCGCGACCCTCGTGCACCGCGTGTCCCTCGTCCGACGCTTGACCCTCGTCCACCGCTCGATCCTTGCCCACCCCCCGCACTCTCTTCACCTTGAATTACGTGTTCAGTGTTCGGCAGATTTGATGTATCTTCAGGCCGATCGTCAAGTTGATTCGTGGGCAATACCGCATCTGTCGGTGAATGCGACTCTTCCTCAGGGGAGGGGAGGGACGGAAATGAGGCAGAAGATGGCACGAGACAAAAGAAATGGGCTGGGGGGAACAGGGAGGTGAAAGATGAAGGAAGATTGATGGGGCTTCGGCGATAATCTTGCAGTGGTCACATCTCGGCGGGAAGTTCACCGATTTTCGATCTTGAAAATCGATGTGGTGCATAACATCTAGCTACACATCATGCCAATGATTTACAGTGGAAAAGTGACGAAGAAACGTCTTGAGGATTCTTTCAAAACAGTCTCCAAAACGGGGTTTTTGATCAGTATACTGAACATACAACATGTAACGGCAGTATGCTATTTTAAGGTTGTCTTCAGTATACTGACAAGTGGGCTCCGTGCGCGCTTCGCGCGCCGAGCCAAATCCCTTCTTTCTCCGCTCCTCGCTCTGCACCTCCTGCTCCGCCGTCCCTTCGTCTCTGGTCCACCATCGTTGCCGGCGTTCCCCGCCCCGCTGCTCCCCCGTCCTCTTCGCTACTGCTCTCGTCCTCTCTCCGGTCTTCGTCGCCCCTTTCCCTCTCGTCCTGCCACGCGTACCGCCCCTCCGTGCTCACTCTGGCTGCAGGTCGCGCTGCTCTCGCCACACTCGCCTCAGTCCTGCTCGCCACCCTTGCCCAGGCCGTTACACTGGTCGCTACGGTTGGCACTCCCGTCCGCCTCAACCTCCGTACCGGCGAACCCGTGGCCCCCCGCCCACACTGCCCCCTCCCTCTCCCCGCTTCTGCTCTCGACTGTTTCGCCGCCGCCCGCGTTGCCTGCCGCCTACGCCGCGAGGCGCTTCGCTTCCTCAATCCCCGCACTCCCACTTCTGTGCCCCTACCCTTTCGTTATTCTATGGCTCTCACGCTGTAGGCACACGCCCGCGCAATCACATCTCACCCGCCGCCCCGCCCTACTCCACCTGGCCCCTCTACTCGTGCGGCTCGCCCCGCTCCCTCCCGCCCTGCGGCGGCCTTGCCCTCTCCGTCGCCGGCCTCCGCCCCTGCTGCTGCTCTTGCCGCCCCCAAGTAACCGTCGCCTCACGTGCCCGGGCTTGCACCCCCACCTCGCCTTCCGCTCCACCCATTTCGCCGCCTGTGCACCTCCCGCTCGGCTTCCTGCTCCGACCTTTGCAGTTACTGCTCCCGACGTCCCCACCCTTGCTGCTGCTGCTGCTGCCCCTGCTTCGTCGCGTGCGCTCTCAGCGACTCTCCCGCCCTCCGCTCTCCTGGTTCCCCTCCCCTCCTGCCTCCTTTGACCGCCCTACGATCCCTCCTCCCCTTATGATGCGCTTCCCCCATCCCCCGCCTGCCCGCCTCTTCTTGATCAAGCCGATCACAGCCACCTTCCCCTCTGCACGCTGTTTCCGTAAGCCCTCCTTCTCGTCCGTCGCGGTGCCGCTCCCGCACCCACAGTCATCGCAGTTAGTCAATCTTCCCTTTCGTACGCTGCGAACCCCGCCGAAGGAGCGCAGCGCGACCGCCTGGGCGTCAATTCACGGCCCCCCCTCACCCGCGCGCGTCTTCTTGCGCTGCCGGCTGTGACACCTGCCCGCCTCGCAGCGACGGTCTTCGGCGTTCCTCGCCCCTGCCCCTCGCGCCGGCGCTCGCCGCCACCCCCTTCCCCCCCGGGCGCGGTCCGGCCCCTTCCGCCCGCGCTCCGAACCCATCTCTCGGGCCGCGTCAGCGGCCTCTGTCTTCACCCACCGCGCGCAATCCTCGCTACAGCGTGGCCATGCGGCCCCCCTCGCCCCCTGCCAGTGACACACCCTTTCTCCTCGCCGCTGCCGCCTCTGAGGTCATGCGGAATTTTTAAATGACCCACGTAATTTCTGCCCATCCCGTAGCCGCCACGTGTCCTTGGTGGCCGCTTGGCCTGCGGCCAGGCCGCCCCGCAGCCCCCCGCCACTTGCCACCGCCACGTGTCCCCGTGGCGGCCTGGCCTGCGTCCAGGCCGCCCCTCACGTGGCCGTGACGTGTACGCCGTGTCGCCCCCGTGCGCCCAAAATTCTTTTTCCTAGTAAAAAATGAAATTAAATCACGACCCCGCCGCTTTCTACACGTGTCCGCGTGGCCGCCTGGCCTGCGGCACACGCGCCCCCGCACGTGGCCGCCACTTGTCGCCGCAGCGCCCCCGTGCGCCAATGAGAACCCGTGCGGGAGCGCATGAACACACATACACAAACACACAGACAGACAGACACGGAAATTAGTATACGCGGGGATCAAAAAAAGCATTAGGGATATGATGACATCCCGGCAGACCAAGAAGAGTTATTTGCGATCCCGGCTTTGTTACCGAAGGCTGGCAGATGGCTGCGGTGTCGGCGCGCCTCTGGGGAGTCAGAGCTGCGGTTGGTTACTGAGTTTGTTGATGCGTTTCCCCCTGGCCTGATGGGGAGCTTAATCAGTAGTCTTTGTAAAGGGGTTGGCAGGGCATATGCAAACGTGAAGTTACTGGCAGATGCTGCAATTTTGACATCAAAGTTGTCGCTCAAGGACACGGGACGAGTAATGGTGTCATTTGTGAGTCCGAAACGGCACATTGAATGGAAGGTGCTTGCACGTGACCCGGTCAGTGTCGCGAAGAGATGCTTAATTGACGTCGAAGCGTTTTCAAGCATGCCACTCAGAGGCAAACCGTTCCGTATGAAGCACTATTTGAGGACACAGTGTCGTTCAGATTTGAACGGATGCGGAGGGGAGTGGACAGCTTCCTTTCGGCTTCCTGCAGATTGGGCCAAGAACGGCACAGAAAAGGGATTGTGGAATCTCGATGGCGAATGCACCGATTGTGAGGAAGCTTGGAGGCTTTCGCAGCTGATGCCTGAAATGGAGAAATATTATGGTCCTGCTAGACCTGAGGCATTGAAGCCATTGACCGTCATTCAGCGGACTTCTAAAGAGGTTGGGATGAAGGCCGTGGATGTGTTTATAAGCCATGCTGGGCCGGACAAGTGGACTATTGCTAGTCCGCTTTTTGACAAACTACGAGGAGAAGGCTTTAGTTGCTTTTTGGACAAGAAAAGCATGAAGGCAGGAGACTGCGCATCGGAAGAAATGATCGCAGCTATGGAGTCGGCCAAGATTGGGGTCTTCATTCTATCCCCCGAGTTTGCTGCTAGAAGGTGGCCGATGAAGGAATTGCGATGCTTTCTACGTCGATACAGAGACGCGCAAAGCAGCGGAGCGACACTGCCGATATTGATCCCTGTATTTTATCGGTTAAGAATTTCAGAGTGCCGAAGTTTCAAGCCTGAGCAATACGTGGATGAGAATGGAAGAGATCTGTTTGAGGCAGAGAAGTTCTACACTGAAGAGAGACAAAACGAAGCGACAATGGCAATGGTGAAAGACGAACTGCGAGAGGTAACAACTCTCCTTGGGATTGAAAACGAAGCAGCATCAAATGATGTGCTCGATCCACTTGCTTCTGGCTTCCGAAAAATGTTGGTGGAGCGAATAGTGTATTCGGTCAAAGAGGCGCGTGAAGCGCGTCAGCAGCAGGAAGCGAAGGGCGTGGGTATTCCGCAAACAGGTAGGGAAGGGGATTGCAGCACTGTACCGAAAGGGTCAGATGGATTGAGATTTCCAAAATGGAGAATTGCGGGAAGACTTCTGGCATACAGCGCAGTAGTTTTCACAATGGCATACAGCGCAGTAGTTTTCACAAATTTGTTCTGCTTCTCCTGCAACGAGTGAGCTCAAGCAGACTATTGCCAAGAGGCAGCGCAGAGGCATTGCAGAGGCAGTGCAAAGGCAGTGCGAGAAGTCTGGAGACGCAAAGGTATGTGCTCGCCATTGCTCCGACGCACCATGAACTGTGATGAGGAGGTGGGCCCACACGGTCGCCGCGGCCGCCGCTTTCACATCCCGAGGCAGAAGAGTTGGATGCGCAACGTCTAGCACCACCCGCGTCGAACTCAAATTAGTCGTGTATCGAACCTGCGCCACGAGCCTCCGTCTCAGCTCCGCGCGTAGAAGGGCCACTCCCGTATCGCTCTGCCCTGCCTCACGACACCAAGGTCTCGGAAGAGCGCGCGCCTGACGATGACATAACTCCGCAACGGGCCTACCATCTTGTACACCACATCCCGAGAGAAACTCAGAGCTATGTGGTCTTGTTATTGATTGTGTTCCCAGCGCCTTGGATGCATGTCCCACATCTCCGCAAGACCATTCACAGTTGTGGCGTCACGGCAAACACAAGCACAACACTTTGCATCGTTCAGTCGTCCTCATACCACCGAAGCCCTTCCCGTGCTTAGCAGAGATCCATGCCACCGCAAATCCCCCTACCTTTTGCACTCGCTGCTCGCGCTTGGTAGACGCTTATCACAACTGCAGGCACAGCTTTCTTCTGACTCTGGTAAGATCGGGTTCCCTGGAAGCAGCCAAACGGAACGGCAGGCGTTGGGGACTTGCAGAACCAACCCGAGCTGCGTTGCTGCGGTACTGTAGTTTGCATCTGAGAAGCGCTCTCTCACTTGAAGCGCAAGCGCATCAACAAAGTGTGAAGGAAGAAGCGCTACCCTGTAGTGTCTGTCGGGCTGCTACAGTAGTCCTCATATGGGGACAAAAGTTATTTTATTTCTTGTAGACAACCCAAGGCGTGATTTCATTCCCGTGTTTTACAACGGGACAAAAGTTATTTTATTTTTTCTAGACAACGCAAGGCTCGATTTCATTTCTATTTTTTAAATCAGAAGGTCATCGCCACAGGTAACGCATTTGCTTGTCGATTCTAGTAAAAACCTACTCGTTGATGCATATATATTGTGGATGTTCAAAAGAAAAGGTCGGCTTACAGTAAGCATTTTTCTTTAAGCCAATTTTATATCAGTAGCATAGAATCACTGCGCTGCGGGGTTTTTGTTCGGTTCTAACTTCAGAAATGTTTTGAAACGAATCAACCTACCGAGAAAAATAGAAACGGTTGCCATCAAAGTTGAAAAGAAATAAAATGCGCAGATGTTTATGTTATGATAACGGTTGGTCGGATAGACACTACAATAGACGATCGATGGGACGCCAGAGGCGAGAAATGGCAGACACCGACGGTAGAGAGCTACCCCTCGAGGGGTAGGGTCCGGCTCGGAGCCAGCCAGCGTTTCTTTTTGCTGCCATAGCGGATGGTCTGGCCTGCTGCCGAATTGCTGCTGCCCGACCAGCCAGGAAAACTCCTTTCATTTTTTTTGTTGCGGGCGTGTCAAGTATCGGTGTGGACAATGATCAATTCACTGTACAGGACCCTTACTGTAGGAGGTCGGCCACCTGTCTGTCACCTAGACATTAGAAAACTCCACGGTACCCTTGGTACTGTACCATCAACTTCTCATCATATAAACGTTACTGGTACGTTACTAGTGTCTATCCGACCAACCGTTATCATAACATAAACATCTGCGCATTTTATTTCTTTTCAACTTTAATGGCCACAGTTTCTATTTTTCTCGGTAGGTTGATTCGTTTCAAAACATTTCTGAAGTTAGAACCGAACAAAAACCCCGCAGCGCAGTGATTCTATGCTACTGATATAAAATTGGCTTAAAGAAAAATGCTTACTGAAAGCCGACCTTTTCTTTTGAACATCTACAATATATATGCATCAACGAGTAGGTTTTTACTAGAATCGACAAACAAGTGCGTTACCTGTGGTGATGGCCTTCTGGTTTCAAAAAAACAGAAGTGAAATTGCGACTTTAGTTGTCTAGAAAAAATAGAAGAAGTTTTTTCCTCATATGAGGACTAACGGTCCGATAGACACTAGCTACTCTCATATGAGGACAAAACTCTTTTATAATTTCTAGACAACCCAAGGCGCGATTTCACTTTTTGTTTTTTTGAAATCAGAAGCTCATCGCCACAGGTACAGCATTTGCTGGTCAATTCTAGCGAAAACGTACTCGTTGATGCCATGTAAAGATGTTCAAACATAAAAAGTCGGCTTACGGTAAGCATTTTTCTTCAAGCTAATTTTATATCAGTAGCACAGAAACATTGCGCTGCGGGCTTTCTATTCATTTCTAACTTTAGAAATGTTTTAAAACGAGTTAATCTACCAAAGAAAAATAGAAACCGTGGCCATCAAAGTTGAAAAGAAATAAAATTCGCAGATATGATAACAGTTGGTCGGATGGACAGGAGGCTCTAGCTCTAGCTAGCTAGGAGAGCTTGTGATGTGCGAGTCGTGTGTCTTCCGAAAAGGAGAAGGGACTGTGGTGTTGACAATTGACTTGCACTGATATTTTCATCCTGTTTTTGATGATTCTGCGCCACTTGGGGCCGTCACCGTCATTTTACATATTTTGCATATGTCCCTTTGCAAGCCATGAACGCTCTGCTCTGCCGGACATAGGAACTAGCAAATCGGGCTGTCATTAATGGACGTACATGCTCGCACGGAATCTTTTCAGTCCTTTTTTGCCATTTCTACTGAACAAACCAGTATCTTCCAGAGAACGTGTCCCCCGGAAAATCTCTTCACTGCTGTTTTCTGGTGCCCAACAACGCGGCAGCTATCATTCCGCTTCACCCTGGACGCTCTAGCTATGCTCTTTTTCTAATGCTAATCAAGTTGTAGCGGAGCATTGCAAGCAACGCACAAAGTCGTACAACAAATGCCCTACCAGCACGTTTAAAGCAAGCGCTAGACTTAAACTACACGACCCAAGAATACCTTGTTGCGTCACAAGACTTAAGAAAGGCATTGATTATTTAGCGAAATCATTGCTGCACTCTTGGCGACATTCCCTTGCGTTACCACTTCACAAACTGCAGAGAGCCATCTACACCTTCATGACTCTCGGTCGACTAAAAATATGTCACACACAATTTCTATAATTTTCACTCCAAGTGGATAGGGACAACGAACAGCAAAAAGACACAAACAGATCCCTTCAATCGTACTTCTAAGAAGATGGGATACATCTGTAGAAAGATCAGATGTTATTGTGATGCATCAATTCCGATTCAAAGACTGATAAGTGTTTGTATTTCCTCGATTTTCTGTTGAAAGGAAGACTGTGTGCGTTGCAATACGGGCTGTTTTTACTATCTCGACTGGAGAGGCGTCTTATGAATGAAATTTTACTGGCTTGATGTTTAAACGCAAGGTGCTCGCAAGGGGGTTTCGTCCATTATAAATAGTCCTGGCTACCCCGCTCAATGGGGCATTCATCTCGTGAATGAAAATTGCAGAACCGCAAACGTACAGCAGAATAATTGCTTCTTCCACAGATCGCAAAAGAAAGAGCAGTATGTTTTGGTCACTTCTTACTTCTGTCTTTGCGATATGCGTCACTTTCTGCAGTGCCTCTGTCATATCTAACGCGACAAGGCAAGGAACTACGCACTGCCACTCTGAGGACCAGAGAGGAGAAAAAAAATGCTATGGTTACATGTGCCTGGACTGGACGTTTGGTTCTGATGAAATGGCCTATGCGCAGAGCTTTTACACTGATACCCTGTTCGCTGTTGGATCTTACGGTTCGTCAGAAAATTTGGGAAAGTGTTACGAATTCCAACCCACAGGGACACACTGGAAGTTCGTCTTTCAGGTAATCAACCAGGGAACAGATGTCCTCGATGGAAGTTTTGACATTCAAACGGGAGCAGGAGGAGTTGGGATCTACAACGCTTGTACGATGGAGACCCTTGACGGCGACCCCCCAATGTTTTCTGAAGACCTAGGAGCCTTTGGAGAAATTTGTGGTGGTATTCAGTCAGTAGAAAGTTGCTCTTCAGCCCCAGCATCGCTCCAGACATTATGTGAAAGGTCATTCGAGTGGGGAGGCCGCGATCTGGACGTTGTAGATATTAGGCGCGTCCAATGCCCTTCTCACCTTTATGAGATCACTGGTCTTCGACTGACAACTGATGATTCGCCATTTTCTGAAGAATTGCGGCCCACGGGTAAAACGACAACTACAATGGACTGTTGTAGACCTAGCGCTTCATTCCCATGCCTCGAGGACGGAAGCACTCGAATGCCCTCAGCCGATCCAAACTATCCATATGTATTGCGGTGCGGTCTAGATGGTGCACGCGTTTCACGTGATACGGAGAGATGCAGTTAGCTTTCCTATGCACAAATAGGGAAGCTATCATATACTGTACAATGTGCTGCATGTGGCACCAAAGATGTCGAAATCATGAGAGTACATTCATTTTTTGTACTCTAAGCCGGTCGATGTTTACCCGTCTTGCCCGGCACACTGAACGATCTCTATACTCCTTTAGCTCCTATCATACTGCAGCGATAATGTTGTTTGCCTCATAAGACGTCAATATCAGTGTAAAGAGCACACCAGTTTGACGTTGTTTGACGATTCGTGGGGCTTGCGCACATGCAGTCTCTATGCAAAATGGTTTTCTCCCCAAAAGCCAAACACTCAGTTCTCCCCCTCCACATCATCTCGGAAAGGCACGAGGCAGTCTTGAACGATTGCATGGAAACTAAGTCATCAATGCAATGAGTCCATTTTTGGCCTAAACCTGAACAAGGGCATTGGAAATTGCCCATGCTCACTGCGGCTAATTATCACTATAGAATACGAAAGACATACTGATGAGACCTAGTGGGTACACAGTACAAGCGAAACCACAATATTGTTCCTTGTATCTCGGAGCTATTGAACCACAGTACAACTGATTCCAAAGCATAATGAAAGCGCATGATGGAAGTGTGTGAATCTAACTCATGTGAACGAATGGTTCACTTGCGAGACTCTCGATGTCTCAACCCGTCAGCAGGCGTTCCAAACATCTTTCTCAAGATATTTCTATGGGTCGTGATCCCCGACACAGGTGCAAACATACGAATGGTGAAACGACTTCTACCATTGGGACTAAGGACTACCTCCCTGTCACTAGCTAACACTGGAAGCAATATAGGCTGCGTCATCGTAGCCAACCAATCGCGAACTAACGTTGCATGGAACACGACTCTTCTCTGATTTAATGCACTATCGAAAGTTGCGGAGAACCCATCAAAGACTTCGATGTTTACTGCGTTGGGTCTTTCCGAAAAAAAGTCTCCTATACGAGTTCTTCTCAGGGTCGAAGAACTATCACTGATTTCAAAAGAAGCCCTCTGGGCAAGTTGATTCAAAGATCTCTTTATTCGAAGTGGGGTCTAGCGATGTATCTTGGACTAATGTCCTAACAGGTTGGTTGCACGACCGTTCAAGCAACTTGCTGACTGCTGATCACCCTAATGGCGAGGACGATAGTGCGGCTTGTAGCAGCACTGGAATTTAGGCTTGGGTTTGTAGTAGCCGTAACCGTGAGGAGAGCGGTGACTCGGGCACTTGATGATTTTGCAGTACGGCTTGTACCTGCAATCATGCCTTGCCTTCCCCTTGCTTACACAGCGACACGGGCATACAATCTTCGGCTTGGGGCTCGGAGACTTTGAAGGCTTCGGGGGGTGATAGACAGGCTTCGGGTGATAGACAGGCTTCGGGTGATAATGTCTGTCACAGCATGCGCGGCCTTCAAAGTGATATTCCGAAGTGCAAGGAAATGTCTTGCACCTGTATCCGAACTCGGGTTTACGGCAAGCTTCAGAGGCTTTCCACTCGTTAAATCCAGTGTAGCACTTGCAGGGGCACTTCCGTTCGTAGCGGGCGGTTTCGGGAGCCTCTGCGGCGAACACCGAAGTGAGACAAAGGCATAGGAGGGCTAGCAAAAGAACGGGCCTGATCATTGTTGAAGTGGCAGTTCTTGATAAATGGGGGCTGAAGTAGTTGTCGTAGCGGGTGGAGAATGGTGTGAACATTGGTGTGGCCGGCTAGAGTAGAGGCCGTTATATATAGGGAGAGAGAGACTATTTTCCTTCAGAGGAGTAGTGTGAGTGAATGCTTCACAGAGAATCATACAGTAGAAAAATCGCAGCCACCAAGGACTGACAAACGTCGTGTACAAACATTTAAGCACAGTTGACTTGAGATGCGTGCAAGGGAGGATTATAGAAAGTTGTTTTGAAAGTCTCTCGAGCTTTGAATAATATTACCAGTCCTAATACGATTTGACCAGAGGCAACCTTCCGAAAAAAGTGGCATCTGCACCACTCGTATGGCGTATATTTTCACTTGTACGACACAGTTATCCTCCTGCATACTAAGGTGCCATCATACTCGAAGGATAAGGGAAGTAGGGAGAGTTAAACAGTTCAAGAGGTCTAGGGCAGCCCTTACTAACGTCGAAACGATTTTGTAAATCCGGGTGGTCACAATACAGGGTGAGTTTCGTTTCCGATCAGTGCATCGACAGCGGAGTGAAATGAAGTCGTCAGAGTACCGTAAAAAATGCTTTGCTACTTGAATTTGCTTCCAACGGAACAGTGAAAGGAGAATTAAATAAGAAGAAATACAAATAAGGGTGAGGTGAAGCTACGGAAGGGAGCACGAGATGAGTCGCGCACATCCATGAAGGACTGAAGCAAACAAAGCTGGTTAATGAACTGTATTCGAAGATGGCCATGGTTCCTTGTAATGAGAGTGTGCACAGTTGCTTTGTAAAGATGGTGCTGTGATGAAGGAAACGAAGGGTGTTGCTTTTCCTAAACTTAGAGGGAAGGATGCGTAGTTTGACTGCAACTTAAAAGATGAGGAATCAAATGTGCGGATTACATGCCGTATGAGAGGGCCAACATGAGAGAAGCCCACTCAGCACAAAGGTAGCTCTGCCTATGCCACCTTTTTACATGAAATAGGGTCTATAATAGTGCATTGGAGGGGAAAACTCCCGAGGTTTTGCATACCGCATACTTACAAGAGCTTATCGCCTGGGATTGAGAAGCCTCCAATCTACGGAGAGCGCTGCGGGAACATGAATATCGCTGGTATCGTTTCATGATAACCGACGCTGCCACCCTATGGAGGTTCCGTATCAATTGCTGGGGAATCGTTGAAAATTTGAACACTGAGGTACAGCATCTGCAACGCACTGTACGGTATAACAAGCTACAGTATTATTAGTTCGATATGCATACGTTTCGTGTTCGAATTTATGCTTCATATGGCGGGAGTTGCCCGTTCGCAATCAGTCAGCACCCCCTCCACCCCCTCCTCCATCTCGGGAATACAGAGCAGCGTACTTGTGTTGTTTTCAATGGGAGTGGCGGCTGCAGTTGGGGGCCTTGTCGGCTCTTCTGCATCCTTGTAGAGTGTATGATGCACCCAATGCAGGCTGACGGGCAGATCTGGACATGTACAGAGCAGCTCGTGCAATTATGCTAACTCAAAAGGTAGCGTTTATGCCACAGTGTCACATTCAGTGGAAGGACTACGGATTCCACTAATCTAGTTAAGGGGTAAATTATACGGGTATCATACGGTGTTGCACATTGGCGGTGCGTGTGCAGAATCTGGACAAATACTGAACCACCGATGTACCCTTGGGTACCACACACGATCCTTTCCGGACGCCAGACGATATCGTGTTGGACGACGCGCATATCCAGCCTTGTACGCCTTGTATCACAACACGCTGGGCAACACGCTGATGCAGTTTTCACACCATGCATGGCCGAAGCGCGGGTAAGGGTCAGCCCTCAGGCATCGCGAGACAAAATGATCAACCCGTTCTTGTGTCCGTCTGTGAAGCATATTTGCCCTTCCGCCATCCACAATGGGCCGCAGTCAGCAGTTGGTAACCATGCTATCGTATCATACTGAAGTTATGGACAGCAAAGCAATAGCCTTCGAGGACTCTTTCATCGTTGCCTACTCTGCAAATTCTGACTTGTTCCTGTGCAACAGATCATGAATAAAGGCAACAGCCAACCTCTGCACGTAAGCTCACGGCAGCGTCTGGCTTCATTAGACATAAGAATCTGTACAGGCTGGGCGTAAACAGACTAACGCAACTGAGCTATGCTAAGAATGATACTCACCTTTGCAACTGACAAAGCATTGTGCGCAAACTACAGTAACATGTTAGTCGGTTCTCGTAGGGAGACAGACATGTGCATCCGTTCGGATGTAGCCAGTACAGTACACTCCCGCCACCAGCCAGAGAAGTAAGTTACTGGCTCCCAATGAAATGCCCGCGAAAACCCTACTCTACTGCAAATCTGCGCCATGAATGACTACACGAATTCACGATTTTCTTGGGCGAAGATGAAGCAGTTGGAAGGAACAAAAGTCCGGCTGGAAATGTTCGCAGGTTCTCGAACATCCTTCCAGGGAGGGATGTACGTGCAGTACCGAAGGGTACTGCAGGGAGGGATGTTTGAGAACCTGCTAATGATGAAGTATTGTACCAAGGGTACTGCACGTACACTATACGTACACTAGAGCCGCAGCTGTAAATGTCGCGCACGCGCATATATACTGTACGGCGTATTTGATATGATAACACCGCACAAAAAGGTGCATGCACCTTTTTGGGTATTGATATCCCGCGTGCTTACAGAACATGGGCTGTAAGCTTACCGTCCCCGCAGACGGCAAGCTTACATGGACCTATATGTACTACGCCCACGTCCGAGCTCCCCACGCCGAGAGACAGAACAATAAACAACTCGAGCAAGCAACTCTACGCTACTCTAGTCTGCGAAGGCACAAGCCGGAGCCCGTTCTCACCCCTGAAGGCGCAACGCCGGATCACTCACCCCCCCCTCTACTTCCCTTCTCATACTATCCTTTCTCTCCCTTTCCCCGCGCGCCAATCCCGCTCCCTGATCGTACAGAGAGCAGTGCACGCGAAGCACAAGGCCCCCTTTCGACGACAATCCGGATTCGAGGGTTTTCCTTGTGATTCTCACCCCCCTACGTCCCCTTTCTGACGTACTAGGAGATGTCTCAGGTTGGCTCTTCCGCCACCGATGGTCCGCCCGCTGCCGACAACGGTCAAGAGACCGCTCCGGTCATTCTGACGAAAGCCAAGGCCTTTCAGATATACTTTCGGCTTCAGAAGATGGCGAAGTGCGTCCAAGATGAGGATGAATTTCATCGTCAGTACCTCGGGGTCGCCCGGAATGTGCTCGAACTATTCACGGTTCCGCAGAGCTCTGGAACCACCGCTGCCGTTATGCCGGACCCTTTGGAGGTATGCAAAGCCATGTCTGATA